TTTTTTGGGGGGGGGGTTCGGGTTCGGGTTCGGGTTCGGGTTCGGGTTCGGGTTCGGGTTCGGGCCCCTTTTTTTTAGGGGGGGGGGGGGTTCGGGTTCGGGTTCGGGTTCGGGTTCGGGTGGGGTACCTAATGATTGCTCGGGATGGTCTGTGCATCACCATATTCCTTAAGGGAACCAGTTTCTAGTCTGGCTGGCACATTTCTGCGAGCTTGATGCTCCACCGCTCTGGGGCCGTGCACAGGGTCCGGTAGTTCCGGCTGCAGCCCACTCGGGAAGCTGCTTCGCAGGCACCCGTGGCCGCGCTGCTCGCCCAAAGCAGGCCGGGATACTCCTGAGTTCTCGAAGTGACAAACGCACAGAATATCTTGAAGCGGCGAACCTTGCACTTAGAGGTTGGCCCAGACTGCCATCACAGGATACATCTTTTCCAAAGCCGAAGCAAACACGCTATACACCCCACGTTCCTTTACCACCATACAGCTCTCCGTCTGTCACCAAGTGCGTTGAAACCCGGCCATACAAGCGCTCAAAGACCAGGGCTCCGTATGTTTCCCCCTTTATATAGCCTGAAGCGCCCCCATGTCCAAAAATAGCAAATGAACGGCGAGGTGCCGATCGGCTTCTTTGCTCTGACGCCGAGCCGCGATGGGATGCGCCGAGAGGAAGGAGGAGAGAGCCACCAGCGCTTCCGCATTCCTCCGGCGAGACCTTCGGAACCAGGGCCTGGCAATGGGCAAAACGGCATGGCCCTCAGATAGAACGCACTCATGTTGCCTGCTCTTGTCTTTCTAACACTTGGAATTTGCCCTCTTTGCTCCCCTCACCTGCCCTCATGCCTCCCCTTGGGTATCGGCAGAAGAAACGGAAAGGAAAGGATGTTTGAAGGGCAAAACTGGGACCCTCGCGAAGACATGCACACACATACCCAAACTGCCCCCCCTCCTCCCTTCTCCCCTCCTGGTGTCACCGGACATGGCCCGAATCACCAGGTGCACCAGCCCCGCCAGCGCCGCCAACAGCGCTGCACCCGCCGCTACCTTCTGGCCTGGCGTTCTGGCCCCATCTGGAAGCGGCTTCCAATTTTAGCACACATCAAGTTTGTCCTCTGATCTGATTCAGCGACTTCATTTCGGAAAGGCTGCTAGGTTCGTGATGTGGCTTTGTCTGCCTTCAAGCCACCATACTGGCAACCCCAAATACCGGCGGGTCGAAACAAACAACCACTACTTTCACCTGTGGAGGTTTCAGGGCATCTTGCTGATAACCTGTTTTTGTGAGGCACATAGGGCATCTGAGTCAACAAATGCAGGATGAGCAACGAAAAATGCGTGCAACGACAAATGTGTCGAGATGGCTTCCAAAATGCGAGTCAAGAAACGACATCTGACATCAGCTCAAAGAATCGTGGCCCTTTTGAAAATATGCCGTGTGCCTTCTGCGCTCAAGGAAGTTGCTGATGATTCTGTATATGACTCTGAACATTCAGAATCCTAAGGGCACGTTGCATGAATGAGCATGCCTCATACAGACCAGCTCCAAAATAGAATGGGATGGGAGCCCCTCAAGATTAACGAGCTTCTTAATGGTTCCTTTTCGAAACAGGCCCAGAAGCCAACTAAAAGACCGCTTCTCATTTTTGCTCCCGGAGCTGCCTCTCCGCAGCTGCGAAAAGCGCAATGGTGCCACGCCCTCTTTGACCACGGCATCTGCCTATCGTGAGGAAGTTGTCACTGCCAATGGACACTTCTGCTGCCCGGTAGGTCATTTGAAAAGTGTTCTGGATTCTGCTCAACATCTGACAAGTGTTATGGCATCCCATGACTGTTCCTACCCAAAGCGACTCCACATGACATAAACCCTTTTTGCTTGGTGCCAAATCCAGGATTTCAACATGGCTCAACCGGCCTCTTGAAGCCTGCAACGGCGAAGGTGGGTGCGTCTATCACACCTGGCCGTTGAGCGGGCGGCCGTGCTTTCTGCTTCTACATGCAAACCGATTCGCTATGCTCTTCTAATGTGTATTCTGCAAAGTGTTTATGTGTATTTGTGGTTGCCAGTTCTCATTCGGTCCAGCCTGAGGTGATAGGCCTCCCGGTGCAGCACCAATCCACGGTCCGCCGGCCAACGCGAAGGCAGAGGTGACCTCGTGGTCTCAGAAACTCGACCGGCGTCCCTCCCTCACTGAGGCCATGACACAAGGGCTCCAGCACCCAAAGTACTTGCCATGTCGCAAAAGCCCCGAAACTTTGTGCGCTTGCTGCATGGTGCAAGTGAGCTTCGTCTGATGTGGTGAGCAACTTGTGCAGTCACCAACCAGCCAGGCAGATTTGAGCAAACATGGCGCACGTGCAATAGACAACGCAGGATTAGCCTTGATTCAGCACATGGGTCATGGGTCGTGGGTCCTGGGTCCTGGGTCATGGGCATACCTATTTCATGGAAAGCTGGGAGACTCTGGCCACAGACATGCAGCTCTGCGTTGTTTCGGACTCATCTCGGGTGGGACACCGGTCAACCCAACATGCTGAGCCCGGAAAGTCACCACCAAGCCTGGCCTGAAGTGAATCAACAGTCCAACTTTCTTTTAGCCAGTTGTTCAGCAATCAGCCTTGCTGTAAGGAACCGACCGACCTGCGCACAGCGATGGTGGGAAGGGTCAAATCAACTCGTCATTTAATTCAGTGATGAATCATCGTCTGCATCCTGCAGAACATCCGGCCACACTTCATCCAGCCCTCGCTGCGCAGCAAACTCCTGGCCGTGTTGGCCTGGAATTCGACGTGCCGCTCACCATTTTGAAAGGTGCATCGGCAAGCAGCGGCAAAACGGCACGCTGTTTCATCATTAACCGAGCGAAACCTAGAAATAAGAGTGGCCCAACGCCAGGAGGGTCTTTGACGATGAATGCAGCTGCTTTCCAGCATCTCCCTGAACAATGATCCTTCTGAACATCATCCCTCGGCAGCCAGCTTCCTCTAAGTTTTGGCTCATTCTTGATACTTCGACCGACTCAGTCATCAGGCGCGTAAACGCGATCTCCACGCGTCACATCCTCGCAAATACTGTGTTGGTTCACTTCTGCAGGGTAGAGACTGTTCTGGTAATCACTATCATGGCTATTTTTCCCGAAAGCATCGCGAAGGGTTCCTTGGAAAAAACGGTTGCCGACTACGCAGCCTGACTTAAGCAGCCTAGCTTACGCAGCGGGACTTACTCAAGCTGACTTACGCAGCCTGACCTACGCAGCCTGACTCACGCAGCCTGACTTACGCAGCCTGACTTGCGCAGCCTGACTTATGCAGTCTGACTTACTCAGCCTGACTTACGCAGCCTGACTTACGCAGTCTGACTTACGTACGCAGCCTGACTGACGCAGCCTGACCTACGCAGCCTGACCTACGCAGCCTGACTTGCGCAGCCTGACTTACGCAGCCTGACTTACGCAGCCTGACTTACGCAGCCTGACTTATGCAGTCTGACTTACTCAGCCTGACTTACGCAGCCTGACTTACGCAGTCTGACTTACGCAGCCTCACTTACGCAGCCTGACTGACGCAGCCTGACCTACGCAGCCTGACTTACGCAGCCTGACTTGCGCAGCCTGACTTACGCAGCCTAACTTACGCAGCCTGACTTACGCAGCCTGACTTACACAGCCTAGCTTACCCAGCCGAAGCTCGCAGCCTTTAGTTCTATCTTCTTTCTTAGCCGGGGGCAGGTCTGGCGGGCGCTGGGGGGATGAACCCTCTGCGGGGATCGTGCGTGTCGGAGAACTCTCGCTGTGGCGCCGTGCGAATTTGCACGCTGGCCGATGAACCCTCTGCGGGCATCGTGCGTGTCGGATCGCTCTCGCTGTGGCGCCGTGCGAGTCTGCACGCTGGCCGACGAACCCTCTGCGGGGATCGTGCGTGTCGGATCGCTCTCGCTGTGGTTTTCGTTAAAATTAAGTACAAAAGTAGTATGCGAAGCGCGCTCCCGCACCTCCGGCCTGAGAATGGCCAGTTTTAAGTAGAAAAGTAGCATGCGAAGTACGCTCCCGCAGCTCCGGCCTGAGAATCGCAATTTTTAGATACAAAAGTAGTGCGCGAAGTAAACTCCCGCAGCTCCGGCTTGCAAAACAAGGGAGCGAGGGAGGGAGGGAGGGAGGGAGGGAGGGAGGGATGGAGGGGATGGGAGAGGGAGAGGGAGAGGGAGAGGGAGAGGGAGAGGGAGAAGGAGAGGGAGAGGGAGATGGAGATGGAGAGGGAGAGGGAGATGGAGAGGGAGAGGGAGAGGGAGAGGGAGAGGTCTCTCTCTCTCTCTCTCTCTCTCTCTCTCTCTCTCTCTCTCTCTCTCTCTCTGAAAGACAGAGAAAGAGAGAGAAAGAGAGATTGAGAGAGAAAGACAGAGAAAGAGAGAGAAAGAGAGAGAAAAAGAGAGAAAGAGAGAGAAAGAGAGGGAAAGAGAGAGAAAGAGAGAGAAAGACAGAGAAAGAGAGAGAAAGAGAGATTGAGAGAAAGAGAGAAAGAGAGAAAAAGAGAGAGAGAGAGAAAGAGAGAAAGAGAGAGAGAGAGAAAGAAAGAGAGAAAGAGAGAAAGAGAAAGAGAAAGAGAAAGAGAGAAAAAGAAATAGAAAGATAAAGAGAAAGAGAGAAAGAGAGAACGAGAGAAAGAGAGAAAAAGAAATAGAAAGATAAAGAGAAAGAGAGAAAGAGAGAAAGAGAGAAAGAGAGAAAGAGAGAAAGAGAGAAAGAGAGAAAGAGAGAAAGAGAGAAAGAGAGAAAGAGAGAAAGAGAGAAAGAGAGAGAGAGAGAGAAAGAAAGAGAAAGAGAAAGAGAGAAAGAGTTAAAGATAAAGAGAGAGAGAGAGAGAGAGAGATAGAGAGAGAGAGAGAGAAGCAGTGTATATACATAACATCATAGATATACCCCAACATTCTTGCATCACCTTTCTCATGCACGCTTTCGGGATACTCGGTGTCTAGTTCTCACTGGAGTTGGAGTGTTTTGGTAAACATCGCTTGCACTGAGCGCCGCCCTCCCGGTGCGACATTTTTTCGCCCCTTGCTCTTTGATCTCACAGAACTGGTAGGCAACACCTTGACAGCCACGTACGGAGTACGGATGCTGCGACATGTCCTGGCACCAGTCCTTGCATTCATTTCTTGAACATGTTCAACGCTGGCTTCCAAGAAACATTTGTCCACTGTAGCTCACTTTGAACGAGGAAAGCTGACCCAAACAACTTCAAGGACTTCCTGTTCCTCAGATCAGGTGAGATATGTTCGGTGAATTCTGCGCAGGCTCTGCTGAACCCATGGCGCGCAAGCCATGGCAAAAAGCAGCACTGAGCCCACAAAAGCACAAGAGACCAACCAGGACGAAAGGCGAAAGAAACCAAAGCCACATGAGATGATGGAACAGGTTCTGGCCCTCTCCTCTGCCCAAGTCTTCAAGCATCGGACCGGTTATTTCCTCATGCCATGGCTTCTTCCAGCATCCTGCGTGTGGCGGCCATGGGATCCTCCTCCACCACTTCCTCCTCCTTCTTCACGAAGTCCTTGAACCTCAGCATCAGCACAGCCTCCAGGCGCTTCTCTGGATAAAGCTCGTCCACGGCATCCGCCTGGGCGGCAACCTATTGCACCTACATCAAACATGCATCATGGCAATTCATTCTTTGGCCAAGGGCCTTCTTTTGCTTTCCTCTTCGGTTCCCGTGCTCTGCACATTTTGCACCCAGCCTTCCAGCCCTCCCCGTCCCTCTGCAGAGTTGCCACCAGCCACACCCCGGTGGTCCGCAGACCCTCAGGCCGCCGGATGCGAACCAGCTCCTTGTCCTGGGGTCATTGCCCAAGCAGCAAGCACCATTTACACCCGCGTTGGGGAGTTAATTGTGGGAAACCAAAACGAAACAACCCATTTGGGATTGAGAAATACCCATCTATCCAAGGCTCAATGAACAAGTACGTACAAACCTCTTGTTTCTGGGATGCTTCGCCATAAATTGCGGCTTGATTTTGGGACACTGATCCAAAAATTGCCATAGGTTCATATTGTCGTCCTTGAGTTCTCTGTAAAAAGCCAAAAAGGAATCTACCCAACATGATGCAAGGAATCAAAAGAACCAAGACCCGCACCAATTTGCCATCTACCAACCTTCGATAATTCAATGGGGTTTGGTTGTGGCTCAGCTTGAGACAGACTCAAGTACGAGGACCCCCTGCTGGATGGTTCCAATTGGAAGCCACGAGGAAGCCGACTGGTACTCATGTTCACAGTCCTCAGACCACAGCGCCGCTGTCCAGGGCGAGGGTCCCTTGGCAGTGGTGTAGCCTTGGTTGGAACTGGCGTCGTCGATGGTCTCCTTGGCCACCATCTGTGCCACCAGAGCCACCAACTTCACCTGGTGGGCAGCCAATGGGGTCTGTCTTGTTTTGAGGGTATAGTGCCCCTTTTCTTGTGTTTGTTAAATGGAACCCAAAAGGAAAACCATCTTTCTTTTGAGGGGTCCCCTCAAAAAGAACACACCCAATTGCTAGACTCCCTGTTGGGTGCTCTTTTTTTTTTCCGAAGCGAAACCGCAAGCAAAAACCACGGGGAGGCAAATATTCCAAGAACTCACCTCCTTCTTGCTGGAGATTTGCGATAGGTCGAGCTTATCTCCTCTGCTGGTCTCAGGCTCCCCGTCCGCAAAGAACTGCCACCAGGTGCACGTGGGCATGCCCGCCTTCTCCTTGCCCATGTCATCTGTGACTACCTTCGCCACCAACGGCCCGTCAGGGCACGTGGAGGACAGGATCGGGTCGAAAATTTTCGGCTTAGTAGGAGGTTCGGCCAGGAAGTTCCCGTATTGCCTCGCAGCCCAGCCGGGCCTAGACTCTAGTGGCTTAGACTTTTCATCCGGCCGCTTGAAAGCAGCAGCATCCGACCGCTTGTAAGAAGCAGCGTCCCGCTCCGCAAGGTACGCGGCCCCGCTTGTACGCTTCATTGCAAGTGTCAAAGACAGCCTATCGTGCTCTCATTTGGTTTCCTGCTGGCAAGATTACACATGCGCCCATTGTGTTGGCAGCTTGCTGAGTGTCATCTGCATGTCCTCTCCATCCTTGTTTGAGAAATGCATAAGGAATGCTGCTAAGGGCTCAAGCACGATGGCAAAGGCAAATGACAAATTCTCTGAGCAGAGGGCAAGAAGGATAGGAGCGGCATGTCGATTTCGTTCTGCCACTTGGGCAACAGGCCTGGGCTCAACTCATTTTTGCTCTGTTATTGAGACAGATTGCTTCGGCACCTGCCTCCGCGCAAGCATGGGGTCGTTCATCCATGTTTGCACCTGAGAACACAAATTGGTCTTACACGTGTTTCCGTGCGTGTCAGTGCATGTGTAGAAGTCCGCCGACCCCTTCTCCTAAGGGGAGGCGCACGGGAAGGGTGGCAACAAGATCGTCATCATGATGGTCATCATCATCTCGTTTGTTCGACTTCAATTGTAGCTCCGATTTGAGATGCCAAAAAAGCGTGGACATGCAAAGCAAAAGATGTGTGGACATGCTTATCATGATGACTCCTGGTGATGCTCAGGATGCGTCATGATGCTAATCTTCCGATGTATCATCAATATCCGCTGCACGAGCATTCTGGAAGACCAGGTCTAAGGCGCGACCCGTAAGCTTGGCTCTTCACATTCTCTTCAAATTCACACTTGTCTTCATATATTCTTCTGACTTTCTTCATACTTTATGCTATGCTAAGCAAAAGATGTGTGGACATGCTTGTCATGATGACTCCTGGTGATGCTCAGGATGCGTCATGATGCTAATCTTCCGATTTATCATCAATATCCGCTGCACGAGCATTCTGGAAGACCAGGTCTAAGGCGCGACCCGTAAGCTTGGTTACGGGTCACGCTTCACATTCTCTTCACATTCACACTTGTCTTCATATATTCTTCTGACTTTCTTCATACTTTATGCTTTCTCGTCTTCTATTCTTCTTTTCGCGTGTGTCTAGCACTTTGCCTTTCCTACGGCTTGGCCCTACAGCGGCCGCCTCCATGGCACCCTGTAGCTGAGGATGCGTCGCGATGATTATCATGCGACCTGAGATGCAAAAGATGCTGAGGAGGTTGGACCTTAAAGCGCGCGGCCAGAACGCGCGGACAGGCTTTATCATCATGACTACTGGTGATGCTGAGGATGCGTCATGATGATTATCCTGCGACTTGAGATGCAAAAGACGCGTGGACATGATTATCACGATGACTGCTGGTGATGCTGAGGATGCGTCACAATGATTATGAGCTGAATTGAAACGCAAAAGATGCGTGGACATGATTATCATAAGGATTGCTGGACGGTTACATGGTTATCATGATGACTGCTGGACAATTATCATCACAGTCATCATCCTTGTCACCCTCGTCATCAATATCATCATCATCATCATCATCAGCGTAGTCATCACCATCTCTTTCTATACTTTTGTATTCTACACTATACACTTCAAGTGTGGCGTTGGAGAGCATTGGTGACGCAGAGGATGCGTCGTCATGATTATCATCATGACTACTGGTGATGCTGAGGATGCGTCATGATGATTATCATGCGACTTAAGATGCCAAAAGATGCGTGGACATGATTATCATGATGACTGCTGGTGATGCTGAGGATGCGTCATGATGACTATCTGCCGATTTGAAATGCAAGAGATGCGTGGACATGATTATCATGAGGATTGCTGGACGGTTACATGGTTATCATGATGACTGCTGGACAATTATCCTCACAGTCATCATCCTTGTCACCCTCGTCATCAATATCATCATCATCATCATCATCATCATCGTAGTCATCACCATCTCTTTCTATACTTTTGTATTCTATGCTATACATTTCAAGTGTGGCGTTGGAGAGCACTGGTGACGCAGAGGATGCGTCGTCATGATTATCATCATGACTACTGGCGATGCTGAGGCTGCGACATGATGATTATCATGCGACTTGAGATGCAAAAGATGCGTTGACATGATTATCATGATGACTGCTGGTGATGCTGAGGATGCGTCATGATGCTTATCAGCCGATTTGAAACGCAAGAGATGCGTGGACATGATTATCATAAGGATTGCTGGACGGTTGCATGATTATCATGATGACTGCTGGACAATTATCATCACAGTTTGCGGCGTGGCATGACCTCAAAACCCTTGCCACTGTGGAGGGCTTCATTATGCTCCGCGACTTTTGCCGCAGGGCCAATGTCATCAGAGCGTTCCGTGAATTGGAGCAAAGTGGGACGCCGGCACAGGCGGAGGTCATCGCATCTATCGCCTTGCACCTCAGTGAAACTAGCAAAATGAGGTTTGAGGTTAGGTACTCGCCGACCCAGGGGCTGTGTCTCCGTGCCATCGCTGGGCACAGCGCGGTTCTTGACCGTTGCCGTCAGCTGCCGCGCCTCCGGCATGATGAGGCTCAGCGGCTCGCTACCGCCATGCACTGCACCACCTGGAACAACCTGGATAGTATCCTTACTACCGGTATTTTCCCAGGGCTCATGGTGGGGGGGGTGCGTACACACATCCACCTTACCACGTTTCCTATGGGCACTAGCGGATTTGCGGAGGCGCGAGGCAAGCGCCCTGTTGCTGTTGCGATTGACCTTGTCAAGTGTCTTCAGCGAGGTATCCACCTTTACGTTGCTGGCGGGGAGACTCTCCTTACTAGTGGAGCCCCCTATACCAGCCAGGAAGGCCTGCAAATGGAAGGCATTCATCCTGCCTGCATCTCCGCTGTGTGTGACGCATTCACCGCCAAGGATGTCACTGATGCGGTCACGCGGGGGAAGCCCGTGTGGAGCAGCACTCCTGTCGGTGTGCCCGCTTCGGACACTGAGCCGGCGGCGGCAGCCCGGCCAGTCCAGCACTCTGCTGCCGAGCTGCAGGAAGCCTTGATGTTCCTGACCAGTCAGGCGGCGGCTTCCCATGGGTTGAGTGAGGTCCGTGCTGCCCCCAATCACAGTCATCATCCTTGTCACCCTCGTCATCAAAATCATCATCATCATCGTAGTCATCACCATCTCTTTCTACACTACTATATTCTATTCTACACATTTCAAGTGTGGCGTTAGAGAGCATTGGTGATGCAGAGGATGCGTCGTCGTGATTATCATCATGACTACTGGTGATGCTGAGGATGCGTCATGATGATTATCATGCGACTTAAGATGCAAAAAATGCGTGGACATGATTATCATGATGACTGCTGGTGATGCTGAGGATGCGTCACGATGACTGTCAGCCGACTTGAAATGCAAGAGATGCGTGGACATGATTATCATGAGGATTGCTGGACGGTTACATGGTTGTCATGATGACTGCTGGACAATTATCATCACAGTCATCATCCTTGTCACCCTCGTCAGCAATATCATCGTCATCATCATCGTAGTCATCACCATCTCTTTCTATACTTGTATTTTCTACGCTATACATTTCAAGTGTGGCGTTAGAGAGCACTGGTGATGCAGAGGATGCGTCGTCATGATTATCATCATGACTATTAGTGATGCTGAGGATGCGCAATGATGATTATCATGCGACTTGCGATACAACAGATGCGTGGACACAATTATCATGATGACTGCTGGTGATGCTGAGGATGCGTCATGATGATGATCAGCCGATTTGAAATGCAAGAGATGCGTGGACATGATTATCATTAGGATTGCTGGACGGTTACATGGTTATCATGATGACTGCTGGACAATTATCATCACAGTCATCATCCTTGTCACCCTCGTCAGCAATATCATCGTCATCATCATCGTAGTCATCACCATCTCTTTCTATACTTGTATTTTCTACGCTATACATTTCAAGTGTGGCGTTAGAGAGCACTGGTGATGCAGAGGATGCGTCGTCATGATTATCATCATGACTATTAGTGATGCTGAGGATGCGTCATGATGATTATCATGCGACTTGCGATACAACAGATGCGTGGACACAATTATCATGATGATTGCTGGTGATGCTGAGGATGCGTCATGATGATTATCAGCCGATTTGAAATGCAAGAGATGCGTGGACATGATTATCATTAGGATTGCTGGACGGTTACATGGTTATCATGATGACTGCTGGACAATTATCATCACAGGCATATCCTTGTCACCCTCGTCAGCAATATCATCGTCATCATCATCGTAGTCATCACCATCTCTTTCTATACTTTTATATTCTACGCTGTACATTTCAAGTGTGGCGTTAGAGAGCACTGGTGATGCAGAGGATGCGTTGTCATGGTTATCATCATGACTACTAGTGATGCTGAGGATGCGTCACGATGATTATCATGCGACTTGACATGCAAAAGATGCGTGGCCATGATTATCATGATGACTGCTGGTGATGCTGAGGATGCGTCATGATGATGATCAGCCGACTTGAAATGCAAGAGATGCGTGGACATGATTATCATGAGGATTGCTGGACGGTTACATGGTTATCATGATGACTGCTGGACAATTATCATCACCGTCATCATCCTTGTCACCCTCGTCATCAATATCATCATCATCATCATCATCATCATCATCATCGTAGTCATCACCATCTCTTTCTATACTTTTATATTCTATACTATACATTTCAAGTGTGGCGTTAGAGAGCACTGGTGATGCAGAGGATGCGTCGTCATGATTATCATGATGACTGCTGGCGATGCTGAGGATGCGTCATGATGATTATCAGCTGATTTGAAACGCAAGAGATGCGTGGACATGATTATCATGAAGATTGCTGGACGGTTACACGCGTCTTTTGCATGTCAAGTCGCATGACAATCATCATGACGCATCCTCAGCATCACCAGTAGTCATGATGATAAAGCCTGTCCGCGCGTTCTGACCGCGCGTTCTGAGGTCCAACCTCCTCAGCATCTTTTGCATCTCAGGTCGCATGATAATCATCACGACGCATCCTCAGCTACAGGGTGCCATCGAGGCGGCCGCTGTAGGGC